GGTTTTAGTGGCTATTAGGTTTAGGGTTTAGGGTTTAGGGTTTTGGTTTTAGTGGCTATTAGGTTTAGGGTTTCGGTTTTAGTGGCTGTTGTGCCGTAACAATAGCAACCTCACGTTGAAATAAGACTTGCGAGGTATTTTATAGTAGAACTACAATTCGGAAACTGAAGGAACAATGTTGTAGCTGTTAAAGCCTCTATATTGCAGGAAACAGTGCTCTGAAAATATCACCATACCCTACCAGACAAGTCAATACCAAAGCCCCTCAACGAAGGAACGCTCCTTCATGTTTTTCTCGGGTGTGTTTTGCTTGGATTCAACTATTGCGTCGATATAATGGATCTGGGGCTGTTCGGGCGCACCTGAAATTCTGCACTCATTTGCCAATGCAAGCCCAGACCCGGATCCTTTATAGGTTCCCCTCAGCCGGCGATAAGCCGAAACCTTTGTCCGCTGAATCCCTTTTGTAGAAAGAAACCTTGAATGTTGGAACCCTTGCAAAAGCCCTAAACCTCAAACCCGAAGCCATGTAAGCCTCAACCCTGGAGATAGTATTGTTCATGCTGGTTTCACAGGAGCTTCAGTCGTTTAGGGTTATAGTTGGGCTTCAGAACGAAGGTGCCGAGGTTGCCGGGTTCATGGATGTACGAAGCAGACAGTGGGCGGTTTCAGATTTGCAGCTGCTCATCTAACTGTAGCACACGATTGTAGCATTTTGTGTTTTTCATATCATGATCACGATGTGTTGCTTACTATTGTAGCGTTGTATGCTTTTTCATATCATGAACATGATGTGTTGCTCATTTTTGTTCTTCAATGTTGGCTTCTGTTTCTAATTCGTCCTGATTCGTCCTGGGAAAGTTATCAAAGCCCTCCACCCTGAACCCCAAACGCCCTGCAATGCTTGGCCTTGCAAGGAAGGACATGAAAGTAGAATATCCCATTTTTTCTGTAGGTTCTTGTTACAATCCGTAAGATAGAATGTATAGGGACCCTGGACAAAGGTAGGTTTTGATAGTTCCAGCAAGATGTGCCCAGTGCTCGAGTCCCGGATGCAGAAAGTCCCAATTCCGGATATCGCAGGTTTCGGCTTCGATGCTGAAATCGCTGAGCGATGCACCTTGCCCTGACACCTTCTTCAAGTCTCGGGCAGGGGGTGAGTTGAGTTGTCGAAACTTCGCGGTTCCTAAACCCTAAGCCCCTAAACCCTAAACCCTAAACCTTTAGGGCCTGCGTAATTGTTGTTGTTGTGCGGGCATGTGCCGTTGTTTCACTTTGAAGCTTGCTCGTCATTCGCCTCGCCTGGATTGTCCGAGTGTGAGAGCCGAAACCCTAAACCTTAAACCTGAAACCCTAAACCCTAAGCCCTAAACCTAAAGGCGAAGTCTGGTGAACTCATCCAAGCCTTCAGCCCTAAGCTGAAAAGCTCCATCTGGCAGCCTCCAAGCACTTTTCGTCATAGCTCAACAGCTCTGGTTTCAGGGTTTAGGAAAAACAACCAACAACAATATAAAAAAGAGAAGCTCCTATGTATGTTTTAATGTTTGTTAGTCTTAGCAGCTCTGATTTCAGGGTTTAGCCGGATTCCGGGTTTAGGGTTTAGGGTTTTTTGGCAGGGACAAAGACGTTTTCATAAATAAGTTCGTACGGCAAAGTCCTCTCAAGCACCTCCAAACTAAACATGGTATCCATAAGTTAATGAAGTTTAATTTGGGTACAATATGAGAAGTACTGTACCACGTAACAGCTAATGCACTATACATCTTCCAACTCCCCATATGCCCTGAGCACTGAGCATTGAGCCCCAAACCATGAACCCCAAGCGCTACGCATCGAACCTTAAAGTCGTAAACCGTCGCCGCTGGAGGTTGCGAACAGCACCAACAGCACCAACAAAGGCCGGTAGCCGAAACTTCAGGAGCGCGGGATGTTGGTTTTACGGTTTCCGGATGGCGAGCTTTAGCTTTAAGGGTTTAGGGTGTAGTAGGGTTCAAGACCTTCTGAGTTTTACGAATCTTCAAGATGGGTGTTGCACTGAAGTTTAGCATGCAAGCTTACGTGTATATGGTTTGCCATTGGGTCGCGGCCTTTTTGTTGCATCATGTTCTGGTGTCCTGTCGCAAGACACCAAGCGGGTTCGGCTGTTTTGTTTGCTTTGTCTTTGGGGGCTTGGCATTTTGGCATAAGTTCTTGCTATTGTTTATATGGTTCGGACATGGACATGTGTCGATTATGACCAGGCGGCCCAGTTTTCCAGTGATCCTGAACTGTTCAAGGACCTCGATGAATCGAATGTGGTGTTGCTGCATATTGTAGTATTCTTATCTAGGGACTGTGACGGGTATTCTTTGCCACAACCAGTTAGGCTTCAAGCTGAACCCAAAATGTCGGGCGTGTCCTAGAAAGCCTAACACCCCTAAAATGAAGCCCTACCCTCCTACACCTTGAACTGTAGAGCTTAAACCGGGTCCTTTCCGCCGGGTGTTGTCGGCACTCAGAGATTCTCGTGGACTTCTCCGGCAGAGGTCGGATCTCTGCAACAACAAAGACTTTGCCCTAGGTTACACGAATCACACCCTACAAGTTTACCAGTTAGATACCCCAAACGTATAGCAAAGGCCCTAAGATGCCCTAGACCCTTATAAATAAACCCCAAAGCCTAAACCCTCCTTGCTAGGTAGGATTCAAAAAGCGTTAAACCTGCCCCTCAGATGCCCTAAACCACGAACACTAAATCGGCGCGTAGGTGGAGGCCGGCGGCTCTGTCTCTCTGCATCCTTGGTCCCCGGACACGTTGGTGCTGCAATGACACGGCTGATGCAACGGGAGCTCTCTACCACGCTTTGGGAGAGAGCTTCGGCCTAGCTGTGGGTTTAGGGTTTAGGGGTTTAGGGTGTCAGGCTGGGCCTGAAATTAAGCCTAGTAGCTTGTGGATTAGGGTAGACCTAGGAACAGCAGGTCATTGGATGCACAGCTAAACTCCGGCAAGCCCTGAAAGGGTTTCAAGGTTTGCGGTGGAGGCTTGTAGACTGAACCCGAAGGCCTGGACAAATCCAAAAGCTTGAGCAATCAGTCAGGAAGCTTTCGTGAGGCTCCCTACTGGAAAGATGCTTCGACACACCGGCTGCGAACCAGGGGTGTTATCACCCTCAAGCCCAACCTGAAAAAAAAGTTTTCTCCTGAACTCCGTGAGGGATCGAATACACCCTAGAAGAGTTTCTGGTTCACGTGCCAATATCTAGCTTGAGAGCATAAAGTTGTCAAGCCTCACATTTCCCCAGAGTCATTCAGCCCGTATAATGTTTAAACAGAACACCAAACCCAACGATGAACCAAGACCGAGGATGGCGAAGCAAGTGCGAACCTGTGTGGCCAAAGCTGCCGCCCTGTTTGGGAGAACTTCGGCGGGGAATTAGCAGATGGGGCCCGGCTGGGGGTTGAAAATTTCGACAACTTTGCAGTCTTTCTGGCAAGCGTTATGCAGGCTTCTATCAGGCCATAAGGGGCGTCTAGGTGGATATCAGAATTTCGCACTTAGGTTCTGGCTCTAGGCTTGTTGCTCAATCCTGCGATTTGCTGAGCTTAGTCTCCCTAAGCCCCCAGGTACCTACTATATGGGGTACTAGAGCCCCCAGGGCCCTATATAGTAGGTACCTGGAGGGTTAGTAAGGGTCTAGGATATCTCCACAAGGACAGCCGGTTATTTTTGTTGCTTCAGGTCGGTTATGGGGATGGAGTTTCACTGGAGTTTCGAGACTTTCTGGTCAGACGCGGCTTCAGAACAGCGCCCCAACAGGACCATCTTGCATTTGGCGTCGAAAGTCTCCAAACGAATCCTTTACCATTGGGTCAGCCTGCGTTGCCATAGTATAGTGCGCATGGCTACCACCCCAGACCAATGCAAGAACAAGCAAAGCCACATGATCAGCAGCCAGTTTCACTTGAGAAACAAACCCCAAACCATCAACAGCGGCTTTGGGAGCAGATTTTGCTTTGGGTTTATAGGCTGTGCTGACAAGCAAACTCAAGGATATCAAACGCCCCTCGGGGAGCGGATTTTTGCTTCAGGCCTGGGTTTTGGGGATTTAAGGCGTTTGTTATTCTTTGCGCGACCCTGGGAAGGCCAAGAATCTTGCTAGAAGGGGGCTAGAAACATCTACAGAACTCAGAACTGTCACCCCCTGCCCCGTAGCAGGAGCCTGAACCCCACTCCATGAACATCACAACAGCTCTAGCCGAAGCATGTGCTGAAATTCGAGTTTTGGGTTTCAGGTTTACGTAGCGGGATCTTAAGTTCTTGGGAGGGACAAGAAGAGGCTTTGTTTTGGGATCCTATACCAAGGAAGTTCGGGGAATTTTTAGGGTGGCATGTAGTCTTTAGGGAAGAACTCCACATATGTCGCTGTGCTTCACTCAGGACACAAAGCTTGCCATCCGGACAAAGACAGGGGGGGAGCCTTGTCACGACCCAAGGCTGTTGCAAGGCAGGATTAAGATTCAGCTCTGGGCTAACTTCTGATCCCTTCACTTACCTAGTTACATATACATACATGTACAAACGCACAAACTGACTTACTAGCTAAGGTTGTCAACTTGAAGGTTCGTGGACCCTACTGCTGAGAACTATGGTCACCAAGCCGATGAGTCTGAAAGCCTACCTGAACTTTCTGGTGTTTTGTTGAGGTGCTAGATCCTACCTTGAAGCCTGAGCCCAGCCCCCGTGAACAGAATTAGATAAATCATCGCACACACACACACACATCTATGTCTGTTTGTCTGTCTGTCTGTATGTATGTATGTACGTATGTATGTATGTACGTATGCAGATTTGCATGGACGTATGTACGTACGTATGCATGCATGCATGTATGCATGTATTTATGTATGTATGTATGTATGTGTGTGTGTGTGTGTCTGTGTGTATAAATGTATGTACTTCTGTATGCATCCAGATGTGTATATTTGCCCACTGACACATGCGTGTTAAGATGTGTATATACATATATACATAATATATCTATATATGGTATGTATATATATATATATATACACATATATAGATATATAGAGAGATCTGGAGAGTGCAGACTGTTGCAAAATCCTAGCCTAAAGTATGGAAAGAACAGAAGGCTTCAAACTCGGGCCTGCAGTGCGACGCTTTCTGTAGATATGTATATATATATATATATGTGTGTGTGTGTGTGCATGTATATGTATACATACATACATGCACCACTGCCACATAGATACATACATACATACATGCATACATACAGTTGTCTGTGCTTGTAGGTGTGTCCCTATGTATACGTACGTATACATGCATGTATGTATGTTTGTTTGCACCTGTGGGTGTGCTTGTTACCAAGTCTCTTAGTGATAGGGTTCTTCAGACACATAAGCCGTTGTGGACCTGCCTCTAAAACTTGAACAGTCAAACCTGGTTTAGGATTCAGGCTTCCATAACCCTAAGGGTCCATGTACCCAAATAGTATATACTTTGGCCTTAATGTAGTCCCTATATGGGTACTTTGGGGCCAATGTTCTACTATTTAGGTACATGGACCCTTAGGGTACAGAACGGCGATGATAGAAGGCAGTGGTCCATACAACCATGCAGAGGATGATCTTCGGGAGCGCAGCCCCAGAATGGTTTAATATAGGGACCTTAACAAGTAGAATAGGGTTTGCGGGTGCATCATGGCATGATTATAATCAGGAACCTCCAAAATAGTATAGTGTAGCAGATAATGGGCCATTGTCATTGTTTACACTAACACCCTAAGACCCCTCGGCAGAGGATAGGGGAACCCCCAAAAAAGCAGCAGCAAAAAAGACATCACAACTCTGAAAGAGCTGCTTGTAGCATGTATGGACCTCTTGGGAAGGATCGTTGCGTCGGACCGGTTGGGCCTTCATGCCCGACTCTTTGCCAGAACGCTCTCTGGACAGAAGTGTAGAACGGGCTTTATAGCTTACGGCTCTTGTTGGGTCATTCTGCTTTGGTTTTCAGTGTCAAGGAGTTAGGCTGCAAGGTTAAAGATTCCGGGTGTCGGGTGCAGGTTAGCACGTTCAAGGTGCAGCGTAGCTTCATCCAACCCTCAATCACTTTGTCAAAGAAGGCCACGCAGAATACCCATGGACCTAGTCTCCTTCCTACATGTTCTTTGCTTTGCTGATCTTTGTGCTTAGGGGCTGAGGGCGGGTAGTAATAATAGTCATGGTGTAGTGACAAGTTTGAGGGGGCAGCTGGGGGCTAGTGCCTCTCGGGATTGTATGTGTCATAATGTAATATTTCATGATAAAATATACTATAATAAGATATAATATAGTATAGTATATCGGAATAGAATGGAATATACTATAGTATAACACATTGTAGTATACCATATCACAATATAATGCAAAAAAATGATATAGTATAATACAATATACTATACTATAAAATATTACAATATAATATACTATGATATAGTATCGTACAGCATAGAAGAAAATAAAATAACATAAAGTATAATATACTATAATAATATAGCAAGTTATCTCATATAGTATAGTAAAGCATTGTATGGTATATTGTACTATGATTTACTACAATGTACCATAAACTATCGTAGTATACTATACTATAAGATCCTACGTAGATTGGGTGAGGGGGTCCAGCGTTGAAAGTATTACAAAGATTTAGGGTTTAGGGCTTGAGCGTTTTAGGTTCAAGGGCGCGGTCTCGGGCTTGAGGGCCTTAAGGTCAGAATAGGGCGTCGGGGATTTCGGATGCGAGTTTGTATGTGGGCTGGTAGTACCATAGTGCTTCCCGTTTCAGCTGCCCAACACCGAGTTCAGACAGTTGCGAAATGAAGCATTGCGGCACAGAGATCTCACACATCTGCCGATCTAGCTGCCGACCTCCCTCTCGCTCTGTCTATCTTCTGCCCTGAAACTCCACCAGGTCCTAAACCCTAAACAGTTCTGAAAGATCCTCAGCTCCCCTTGCCGAGACGAGGTGGTTGTGTAAAAGGCGCCAGTGAGGTGTCAGCAGGACTCAGCTTGACTCGTTGTCCTCAGCAGTCCCCCTAAAGCCTACCCTAAGAACCCGAAACCTACTTTTTTGTAGGGTCCCTATTAATCCCATATTAGGGTTTACAATAAGAACCTACAAAAAAGTGGGTTTGGGGTTCTTAAGGTAAAGCCTAAAGCCTAAAGCTCCAATCTCCAAGTGTCGAGCCCTAGTCGCATACCTCTGTGTAGAACTTACGCGAGCAGTTTGTTTGTTTCAGATTCTCCGTGCTACCCGTCGTAAGCCCCATGAACCCTAAATCCGAAGAGATTGGAACCTTTAGTGCTTAGAAACCTACGGCCCTAAGCCTCGAAACCGTAAATCCTAAGTCGCCCATGAACTCAGAACCCAACATTCGGCTGTGTGGAGCCTGGTCTCACACCCTCTCCGCCGCGCCCCGGCGTGGTATTCGATCTCCTTTGTTTTTAGCGTAGAGTTTAAGGGCCTATTGGGGGAATGCGTTTGCAACCTTATGGCTAGTTTGGGCACGGAAGCGTTGAACAACTGCCAGGTACGGGTCTGTCAAAGAGGTCCCCTTATATGCGAATTGTTCGTACAGGTCATACCTACCCATAGGCCCCATAGTAGTTCCTTTCTGGGATTACCTTATAGGATTCTTTCTATGAGCCCCCCAAAAAGGAAACCCTAAACCCCCAAACCCCCAAACCCCTAAACCCTAAACCCTAAACCCTAAACTCGTCGTAACCAACACCTTCACTGCCCGCTGCTGCTGCCTAAGTTTTTCGGGGCCCTATGAACCGGTGTTTCCATAGACCATGGGTTCTTTGTTGTTC